GTATGCTGGTATAGACCTGCTTAATGATTATACTAGATGGCTTATTTCGGCCTTAAAATCTAAAATCTGTGACCATCTGAATGCAAGTAACTTCAAACTTTCCAAAGTCTTCAATCTGAATTCTCTGCAACACGGTTCTTAACCTGGAGTCCATGGGCAAGTTTAATATGAATTCATGAACCTAAAATATACTTCAATCCTTGTTGTACACACATGCAATTGCATACATTTTCTGAATCTGTTGTTGAAATTAGTGTTTCAAAGGTAATGACTCAATAATAATTATTTTTCAATTATATATATATAAAACAAAAATATATAAAAAGACAAAAATGGTATTCATATTAGCAAAAGAATATTTTGAAGTATTTAAAAGTATTCATCTAACATTCTTATAAATTTCAAATTCATTTTTATATTTTAAATACAATTTCATTTTAAAAATTTGATCCACATGTACTTTTCAGGAACACTGTCCTTTCCTAAATATAGATCACATAATGTTTTCCTTTTAATAGCTAAATCCAGTCAAGAAAAAACTCTTTTTATTCAGAAAATATGTACTTCTTTTAAATTAGAAGGTATTTATATTTACTACAATCTTAAATTTCCTCAATTTTCTGACACTATTCAAATTTTGTTCACGAACATCTTAAAAACTCACATTTGCAAATGTTCCATACAGTTCAAAAACCTCCAAATGTGTGGAAACAGCATTTACCAAGTCAAATTTATACTGTTCTATCAAACTCTGATACTTGGGAACAGCTCCACATTTTTAATCTTTCATTTTCTTTTTCTTTAGATCTAGAAGAGAATTAAATAGAAATATTCCAAAAGAAGTCAGAAGAGCGTAACTCATCTGAATGTTTTAAATGACTATATTTCCAGGTTCTTAAGACTAAAACCAGAGCATATTTGATCTGTTGTGTTTTCATAACTAAATTACTTAACTATAGAGTAAGTTTTAATTCAACTCAAAAGATAAAAGTTAAATCAGTAGTCAAGACCAGTTTTATTTTATCATCTTTATTACTGATAATATTTAGAATGAGTAGACACTGTAATATCTGCAAGGGTGCTTTGTAAAATATAAAACTCTATGGAAAGATGAAGATTTGATTATCATCCCAAAAAGTCTGCTACAACTTGTTGCAATAACGTTTTTCCTTTTATGACTCTATGATTCCAACTAATTCTCGTGGGCAACACTAAAGATCCATTTCAAAAGCTTATACACTTAAATGTCCCCAAGGATTTATTTTTCAACTTTCCCTCTTCCCTTGCATTTACTTCAATGCTTTATAATTATACATGAATTTGCAGAGTTTAAAGCAACTTTACATACTTTGATCCTTGAAGTCAACCTGTAAATAAAAAGCATAATACTGCTTCCATTTTACTGACATACCAAGTTAAAGGACTTCACCATATTTACCATACTAATAAGTAATTGTCCAAATTTAAACCCATCAAGTAAGTGTCTCCAGTGTAATTTCTAGCCCAAACCTTCTTTTTCTTCAAATACATTCCTGAATCAAAATACTGCACCACTTTCATTCTAAGGATGTTTGTGCCCTCACAATGCCATAAAATCAATGTCAAGGTTTGGATAGGCAGAGGTTATACTGGAAAATATAATAAGCGTATGACAGAAAATGCTTGACTATATTAGTGAACATTAGCATGCTGAAGTCTACACATTATTGAGAAATAAGTTAAAGGAAATGTTTTAAGACTACATTTTCAAGAACTAAGACTGCCTGTACTACTCAGTAATAGTAACATTTTGTAAGTATTGAATAAATCTGAGTATCAAATACTAGAATAAAAATGACTGACCTCTCAGTGGCTTCTCAAGGCCTGTACTTAGAAGTCCTGGTAAATAATCAAATCATCAAAGTGTTTTCTGTAAACTCACTTGGAAAAAAAGTAATAAATCACTACTTAAAAACATAGAGTGCATTTTCAAGGATAATATACCTTTCCAAACCTTACTGAGTATGTGATGGCTTGCGTAAGCAGTAATATACTTTTTCAAAGAATAATAGATGGAGTCTTCCTCCTAAATCAAATCTATCGAGTCAAGTCTACCACAAACCTAAAAGTGTGGCTTAACTTGAGTTTATTTCTAATTCAAAGTTTATACTTTTTAAGGCACATACTAAAAATTATTTTCCCTTTTTATATAATGAAAAACTTTTCCAAAAGGAACAAATTGGAATTTTTAGAGTTCTACTATCACTACTTTCCTTCAGCAGTCCAGCAGTCTCCTTTTTAAAGAGGATATATGTAAATGTGATATTAATGTGATACATTAGGTCCTCAATGATAGGTACACTGCTTAGTATAAAGATCTTGAGTACAGAGACATAAGCAAGATTTGCATTCCTGCCTCACTCTTCCTGCTCCACTCTATCTGTCCAATGCTCTTAACAGTTCAAAATATATTTATACAAATATGAGTAAATACTTCTCAAATTGAATAAATTTGTAAGACAGCATTCACTAGGGATGGAAAAAACAAAATATGGAGGGAAGGAGGGAAAGGGAAAAAAGGAAGAAAGTGAATGCATTTTTCAGTGATTATTCTGGTCCTCATACGAAGGTAAGTTTCACAATAATCAATCAATCTTATACTTTTATCTGGCACTAAAGTAAAACTTTGCAGAATTTATATGAAATATAGAATGGCTGCTTACAAGTGGAATTACATGAAGAAAAAAGTGTAAATCTCCCAGAACTGCATATAAAACTGAATAAACCTAAGCAATTTATAATTATTCTGTGGTAAACCACTTAAAATTAAGTTTATAGCACAGCAACATTTAACTAGTTCTTCATACTAATGACCTTGAAAAGCAGAAATCACAGTAAGAAAATTATTCATTTGAATTATCCAAATTCTTTTTCAATTAAGAAGCCATTTGCAAAATGCTAAAATCTTTATATAAATGAGCTCATAAACATCAAAACGGTGACAAGTTTCACTGATGATCATCTGATTATGTCAGCTCATGTTTACTTAAAGAGAACATTATTACTGCAGTCATGAGAATTAAATCTAAGCTTTATCAATGAATACATCTGCATGCTACCACCCTATCTATTAAGCACTTAGGGAATTTCTTGGTGAGAAGCTACAACTTTCATTTGTTCTTTGAAATTACAACTGCAGAAAACAATAAAATACATGGTATTTAAAAGTACTTCTTTTTATAATCTTTTTCTTTTAACTACTGGATCATGAATTTAAAAGCTGTTGAATTAAAAAACATTTCACTACAGAAGTAAATTTCTCACCAATACCAAAACTATTTTAGTAATAAGCTATGTGCTTCTCCAAACCTGGTAGTTCAATTCTAATTGTGTCCATTAAGAAACCTATGAGAATATAGTAATATGAATTAACTACTTACTCACAAAATCAGTAACTTAAAAAAATCAGTAACAAGATTAACATCAAAAGAGAAGTACTGCCTCCATACTCCTGTACAACATACAGATTCAATAGTATGCATTCAGATGTTAAAGCTACTTTTGGCTGAATCAGAACCAAAACAGACAATTACTACCTAACTTGGCATCTTTTCTTTTAGGATGTAATGCAATGTTTCTCAAATGCAGGCATTTCACTCCTCACCTCCCATGGTCATTTGGCAGTATCCAGGGACTTTTTTATCATCACTACTAGGAGAACTGTCTGGTTCCCAGGCCCCTTCTGAGATACTATGTAGACTAATCATCTGAGGGGAGTGACAATTAAGCCCACTATAAAGAAATACCCACTGAGACGCCGGTTTGGGCAAGTGGCAAATAACTGTGACTGTCCACCTTAAACTGTAGTTTCAAACTGTTACAAAGCCCAGCCCAAGGCTGAAGCCATTAAGCTAGGGGTCAGGGAAATATGCTGAATTCTATGGCCAGATGTTAGGAAACAGAAACCCTGGACTAATGCAACGTAAAATATCATGCGTGACTAAGATTTCTGTCATTGCCAACTCAGGAAGTTGACTTAATGCAAATCAATCAAAAGCAAAGCTAAAAAGTGACCACCAAGATTTTAGTGGAACTGTAGTGAGACAGTATCAAAAAGTCTGATACATGAAGTGCTATAGTAGCTAATCCACTAGATCCTTCAACCAAAGTAAATGGGCTTTAAAAGAAGCAAAGGCAGTAAGACTCCCAGAAGAGGAACTTCTCTAATCCCTGCTCACATTAGGGGCCTGAGAATGGCAAGAGAGCATCTGAAAGAGCACAGAACTAGAAGCCCCCTATCTAAACAAACAACATTCCCTAGGGTAAAGGGGTATCAATCATCTTTATTACACTAGAGTGACTCTTGCGTGTTGGTTCTCTTCTCTCCTTTCCAGATGATTGTTTTATACTAGTTTATCAACTTTTCCTGTATCAGTGTATAAGGGTATGTTGGGGAGGGGAGGTGTTTTAATTTACCAACTACTGTAGACAGCCAGAATAAGGGAAAATGAGTTCTGAGAAGACTAACCATGTAGTAGCAGTAACAACCTACCTGTGCAATTTTGATTTTAGGTGGAATAGTGAATGGTGTAGATATTTCTTGAAGTGTATAGTATTAGGAAAGTACTGCATTAACCATTAATATACTCTGTAGCTTGAAAAAACCATCACTAACATACAGCAAGAAGACTTATCAACATTTATCCAACACTTGGGAAGCTGACTGTATCTGAATTCCTTCTCCCTTTCCTAACATAATTCACGATAAGTACACAAGGGTACCAACACTCTCCATACGCTTTATATTCTAGACCACTATTTTCAGTTCTTAACCAACTAAAATGATTGTACTACTCAAAAGTTTTAAAACGCTAAATCTGAAAATCTAAAAACCAATATACACGTGTATTCAAAATGTGAATATATTGCTATTTCTGCTACTATCAGCAGAATAGCAATTGATCAATGTATGTAAAGTCATAGATACTGTGCTTTAGGTCAAAGTTCTGTACTTTTCATACCATTTTTGTAAGTAGTCCAGTGCCTCCAAACGAGCACCAATCTCAAAAGTGATTCCAGGACGATTTGGGGGCTTTTTACTCATCTTGAGATCCTATTCTTCAGTATTCTTTTTTCACTACCTCAAGAGGAAAAAAGAAAGTTAGATACCAATGCATAAAATGCATAGGGAGTGTGTAAAGGCAGACAAAATTAAACATTTTCTAAACTAATATAAGAATTTAATTAATAGTTACCAGTATCTCTCAGTAAAAGAATGTGCAAAGTGCAGGCAATCTTGATAAAGAATTGAGAAAGGGACACATAAAGACAGCTAATTAGGAAAAATAAAGATGTGCCATTATATGGCAAAAGTATTTTAAATTTTAACTGGAAAACACAGGAAAATTTCCAGGAGGACAGCTTAAAATGTTTTCCTGTCTTTGAAAAATTAAGACAGGGAGTTTTCCGGAATATGACTAAAATTATTGATAGAACAAATTAATCAAGTTCATTTACTCTGAAGAAACATTTCAGTGCTTCATAATACAGAACACACTTTGCACAAACTAAGAACACACAAGGCTGCAGGAATAGACATACTCCTACACTGACAAAGAATTTAGCAATTACTTTTGTGATCAGCATGTCTCATTACCTGGGAACCGCCACTCTGGCAACAAATGATACAAGAACTTCAACCTACAGGTGCAAGGGAAATTTGTCTTTCACATTTCATATTGGATACCTAATAATGATAGAGATTTTCTTAACTCTGACAATTTATTTCTAATATACGTCAATATACAGTGCCCACACATTGCCAATAAAAGTGGCTGTAATGTTAAATAAAAATTGCAGAAGAGTACATTCCCTCTGGACATCATTCACATGTAAAGTGTTTACTACCCTTTCGGCTTCACTGTCCTCCCAACACATTAAGGTTGGCCCCCTTTTCACGACTTACTTGAACAATATCAACACATTTAAGATGGTCTTATCAAAATTTACAGTTGGTAATATTTTTTGTTACTCAACATTATTAAAGACTGTACTCCAAGTTCAAAAGGAAAAGAAACCTAATTTTTCATGACTGTTTGGTCACAATTTAAAACACACAAAAACATAATGAGAAACGTAAAATTCCAACTGCCCCTCATTCCTTGGAAATAAAAATCAGGCAGGAAAGGGGAAAAATAGTTTTGATAGTCTTCACTCACCCTCTCAAAAAAAGTGAACTCAAATATTTTGGGAGATGGAGAGGCGACACCCTTCTGGCATGGCATCAGCAAATAGAAGTGAATTAAAAAGTTAATGAGAATCGTGTCCGGAGTGTATTTCGTGTAAAGGGAATAAATGTATGAATACTTTAACAGAAATCTTGTCACTGTGAAGCACATAAGGCAGTTACTTAAATGTGTGTGTAGAAATCCAGCCAGAATTTCTACGGTTTTTCACATGAAGAACTCGGTAGGGGACAGACAGTTCACCAGTTACACTAACACGTTCAAGGGTCACATTGAATGTTCAGAAGTAGTATAAGCACCACCACCACCACCACCCCGCGATACACTTAGGGACAAGGTACCATAAAAGGCAAAATTTCCTTTTCCTTGGGAGGAAAGGGACGGACGAAGGATTTGAATGCAGGAGCTTTTAAAAAATGAAACAATCTACTGAAAGGGAAAAAAAATCGAAGGAAATAGAAGGGGACTTCCAAGCACAGAGTAACACAGAAAGGAAGGTGAAAAAAAAAATGGCAAAATAATTTAAGGGTGGTGGAAGCTGAGGGAGATGACAAGTGCAAGAGACGAGAAAATCAGTAAGACACACACACGAAGAAAGTGAAGCAATGGTAAGGAAGGACCGCCAGGCCAGCAAGGTGGGGGCGAGGAGGACGCGGAGGGGGCGGCAGGAGACTGGCAGGAAAGGCTCCGACAGGGCTGGCCCCGAGCCCGAGAAGCCTCCAGGTTTGACAGCCGCCGGCCCTCAGCAGGGGGGAAGGAAGGGAGGGGGAGAGAGTGGCGGCGCCCAGACAATAGGGCCAGCGAGCGCAGGGAGCGGGGCGGGAGGGAGCGGGCCCGAGAGACAGCGGGCGGGGGCGTCCCGGGCGACCAGGCGGGGGCCAGGCGGCTTCCAGGCCCCGCAGCCGCCTCTTACCGACTCGGCCTCCTCTCCGCACAGCAGCGGGCCGTCCGGGGCCGAGCCGGGGCTCAGCAGGGCGGCCAGCCCGGGCCTCCGCCTCCGCCCAGGCAGCGGCCAGGGAGGGAGCAGGAGCTGAGCTAGTCGAGGCCGAGGCGCCGGGTCACCACGAGAAGGCCCGGGACGGAGCTGGGTCAGAGCCCTCAAGCCCGCTCGGGGTCCACTGCCATCGCCTCCGCCTCCACCTCCGCCGCCGGCCAACCCTGACGCTACGCCGGGCTGGAGACGTCAGCTGTCCGCGACGCGCCGGAAGCGGGCTTGGTCGCGTCACGTGACTGATAAGGGTTGGGCTCGGGCCGCTCCGCTGATTGGAGGGCTGCCCTGGAAGGTGGGGCTTTCCATAGTTGGCCCGCTGCTAGCTTGGGGTGCTCCGGTTAGCGGTAAAACGGCCTGAGTTCTGAGCGCCCTTTGGCATTTGTGAAGCATTTGACCTTTGAGAGATGAGGTTGAAAGCCACTGATTATTATTATTACTGATTTCATGGGGAACCAGTGTCTCCCAAATCCCTCTTCCCAAGATAGCAATCTTCTGTAATTGCGTTACTTTCTTCCATACACATTCCACTCCACTTTAAGAATAGAACAAATGGTTGCGCTAAAAATCCGTAAACGGCTCTTAAATGGACACTTCGTGGCGGACTATATGCTGCAAATATACTGCATAACAATCATAACTGCACAGTTGATTTGCTCTCTCAACAGTCTAGGACAGCCATACAATACAAAATACAGATATAATTAAAGGATGCATGAGTGCAGCTGCAGGACCTATGTGACATGCCTTCCATAAGACTGCCCGGCTGATGACAGCAGAACCACTTTTACTGATTAACTACTATGTCCCCAAATCTGTGCAGAGCACAAAGGGTAGTGTCTATGCCATACAGACAACCTACAAGTGGTCCCAATTGAAGTAATTTTGAGATGAAACATCTTTTCTCCCGCTGTAGACTCCCAAGTTTTCTAAATGCACATTGCATACAAATGGCATTTATATTTATTTTGTTCACAGTGTGGAATTAAAATGAAGAAGTAACTCTCTTTAAGCTTCAATTACTCTGAGATTTGGGAAATCAAGCAAACATTTATTTTCATCCTTTTATTTGACAGCATTCATTCAGCACCTACTATGTTGCGAATAGCTACTGAGCTGCACTGAGCACGGCAATACATATGATACACAGCAAAGCTATAAATAAGACAGTCTTTAGTTCATGTTTGTCTTGTTTTCTGGCTGCCCAGCATCTGTACTACTTTCCATGTTTGTGAAATTTCCCATCATGGTTTTATTAGCTCAGCACATCAAATATTGCTAGAGTCTTGCTTTGTACATGACAACAGTATGCTTTCTACCTTCCTTAGTGTTATGTGTGGCCATTTGATTTGCTATGAAATGAAATTAGAAGTAAACATCATAGTCAGCAAAACATTAAAACCCAGTTTGCCAAAACTCCCTGTGCCTTGCATGGTGAGAAGCCGTGTTTGAAATGACAGCTGCCTTAGCAACCCAGGTACTAGATAAAATATGATGAACCCAGGACCCACTGATAATCTAGGAGGTTTATGTTGTATAGGGAAATAATTATTTATTTTTAAGCAATGAATATTTATTTCTTGGGGGTTGTTATGGTTTGGAATAGGTGTCTCCTCAAAGCCTCATGTGGTCATAGGTAGGGCTTTTTCAGAGGCAGCTGAATCTAGAGTGTGTGATGCTGGAATTAAAGGTGTTTGATTACTAAATCAGTCCACCTGGGGTTTGGCACCCTGGGTAGCCTGGATACAATATAAGACACAGAAAGATGTTGTATTCTCTTTGCCTTTGCTGTCTTCCACTTGCATGAAGTGATTGTACTCTATGATTGGCCTCTGCCAAGTCACCCTGCCTTGAATCCAGCCAATTATGGACTGAAACCTCTATAAACTGTGAACTAAATAGACCTTTCCCCTTTTAAAGTTTGGGTGTCAGGTATTTTGTTTCAACAACGAGAGGAAAGTAACTAAAACAGGGATTGTTTGTTATGTAGCACAGCCTTATCCAAGCTGGCGGATTCCTTTCTGAAATTTGGAGGCAGAGTCAACCACCCACTAAATAAGATGAAAATTTCAGAAACAAGTGTTCTCAGCCTTCTTTGTGGCTAAGTGCTGGTCTCAACTACATTAATTAAATGCTCTTACTGAGATTTTAGTATCAGAAGTTGCTAATGATATTCAAAATAAGGAAAACGTTCTCCAGCATCAGTGGAAATACCAAAAATAAAGTTTCTAAACTTCAGCTAGAGCTAAGTTTTATTGAACACTGGCAGAACTCCTACTAAAATGTACATAAATAGGTAAGAAAAAATAGATATTATAAAAATTTTAGGGTGCTTTCAATTTAAATAAAATGTATTCATAAATTATAATACAGATTCTATTCAATCTCCTCTATTTTTGTTGTGAATCTACCAATCCATAATCTACAACCAGAAGATGATTTTTCCATTTTAACTGAGATTTAACAAGGATTCTCTCCAATAATGTAAATTGAAATAATAAAAATGCAAAGGAGATCTTAGGTAAGTAAGTGGTTTATGTAAATAGCATAGACTAGTGGTTCTCTATGGGACTGATTACCACCCCCTTGAGGGCACTTTGGAAATAAGGAAGAATGTTATTTTCAATTGTTAGATGATTGGGCTAGAATAGTGCTACTGTTTAGTAAATCCTGAAAATGCACATCCTGAAATGCACAGTGCATTCCTATGCCTTGATATATTGCCTCCAGTCATGCATAACTTTGGACTGCAGACATTCATGTGGGCGAAAAACTTGTTATCTAATTGTGCCTAGAACTGAGTTTCACATATATGCCCAAAGTATTTTTGCAAGGTTTTAATGTACATTTAATTTTGTAAGAAGAGAGCAACTATTCAATATAAGACAATGTGGTTTTATTTTTCTAAACATTACCAAGACTTCCTTTCTTTTAAAATATAGTGTCACCAAAAACTAGGGCACTCATGGTATTTAAGCCACTGCTAGGACGTACTTGTATCAGTCTGTATGCATAGCTGTTGCATTCAAAGTAAATCTAACCCTAGGTGAGAATACTTGACTACCTTATGATGTCTCTTTATAAGTCATGGCTAAATATTATGTATTTATATATATGATTTTATTACAAATAATTTCCATAAGGCTTGTTATTTATATTAGCATTATATCTTATTGATACTTAAAAATATATATGTATATAGCTTAATTATAATCTATGAATTTGATTTCAGAAAATGGAGAGGGTATTACATAATATTTACTCTGAAAAGGGGAAATTAATTCCGATAAAACTAACAAAAACATCAAGTAGGCTGTCATGTTTACTTTCGCCCATATAGAGTTAAAGTTCAGGATCAGCTCAGATGAGAGAAACAGAGCAAAGAAGAGTCTAAGAACTACTCCTCAGCCATGTGCCAGGGCTATGAATGGCCATGACCCCTCCTTTCTTCCACCTAACTTACCCTTCTTCCAGATGGTTGATGCTGGCCATCAGTCACTCCATCTCCAAATATAGAAAGGAAGAACTTACAGCTGTGTTTGAGTAGAACCAAACAAGCAGTGGGCAAATTATCTTGAAACAACAGTTGTTAGGCAGAAAGCACTGATCTAAATTTTTCCAACATTAAAAATATGAATAAGGAACCATAATACTTCCTGGAATATTTAACAACTGCATACTTATTTTGAGGGAGGAAAAAAGTAACTCCTAAATAGCAGATATTCCTTGATTACATAGAAAACACATCAAAGGTTTTTTGTATATTTATTTAATAACTGTGATTAGCAACAGTAAAGACAATCAAGGTAATTCAAGGTTTGAGTTTTTTTTAAGAGCCTAGTTTAGTGGAAACCTACACTGCAGCAATAGATGCCTGTGGCAAATCTCTCCATTTCAGGTCTTGAAAATCTTTGAAAATGCATTAACATCCCTTCCTTCACCAGTGGAAAGCTCACCTATCTCGTCCTTCTGTCACCACATCCTTTTATCAGCCAAACAGAAGTGATAGTTCCAAAATTAATCACTGCCTGTTTTCATGAGAAACCACTTTGAAGATATCAATATGTAATACAACAAGCATTGTTAATTTCCTACCTCTTTGTTTGTAACTCTGTATTGTCTGTACTGTTCTTTTGCTATTTTTTAAAAGGTTGCCTGTCTGTTAATGTTTTCCTCCTTTTATTTTTAAAATAAAAAACAAAATTAATCACCAGCGGTTGGACCCCTTAGCTCAAGTGTGAACTGACAGAGACATCATCTCTGCACATGCTCACACAGCATTCTGCTCACATTTCTAATGTACTTCCTATTGTTGTTTGCTACATGTTTATGTGCCACTTGCTTATAACAATACATATATATATATATATATATGAATATCATTTGACATATGTATATATATGTATTAAAGTCACTGGAAATTTTCCATCAACTTTAGGATTTGCTTTTTATAAGAAAGTGGCACACGTGATGTACATATATAACATATAATATGGTATATATATGTAACTGTAAGTATATCTTTATTATGAGTTCAAATGTTACTCAGAAGCCCACTCAGTTATTGAGAGTTTAAAGACCTAGACTTAGCAGGAATGGTTTTAAGATAATCATAGTCTCTGCTACTAAATGTCATAAAACAGTATTTGGCTCAGCAATTATAAGAAGAAAGATAAAGAGCTCCTTTGTGTGCAGATTTCCCTGAAGCAAGGGATCTACCTTATATTTATCATTCAAACCTAAATACTTTTGAGAGTGGAAGGAAATATTAGTAGTAATTACTCCCAAGTAGCAGGTGGGTTGCTGGATAGTCCCAGACAAAGAGGGACATGCTATCATGCCACATAAAGCAAAAATAAATAACAGTGAGAAATAAAGTAGGCATTTATTAAACAGATAATCATTGAACATAATACACTTCTGATACCTCAGTGGGTTTTCCTCTTTGAAATACCAGGACCAAGGATGAGCTCTTTATTTTCAGCTGCTTTATTGATACTGCACCTGCTTAATTCTGCTGTTCACTAGTATCATTTTTACTCACCATATCAGCATTTCTGGCTTAGATTCACCTGGGCTGTTGGTTAAAATGCACATTCCTGGGCCCTACTTTGTATTTTGGGATTGGGGACTACACTTTAACAAGCCACCCTAATGATTCTTCTGCACGCAAATGTTGAAGACTTGCATGAAGTTATGGTTCACGTGATTGCTTGT